AATTATTTTTATTTAACTTTATTTATTTATTTTAATTTGACCAGAGAAAGGGACAGAGAGAGAGGGAGAGAAAAGCAAGTCATCAGGTCCGAGATTCAAACCGCAATTGGCCACCTGGGAGTCCAGCACTCCTAACCACCACGGCACCTGCTGGTCTTGACATGAAGTTTCTACCTTAAAATGTATGGATATTATGTATACACATACGGGCCAGGTATGTCTCAGAAATTTTTAAAGATAAGATGAGGTGTTTATGCACTGTTTTGCACTTCTCCTCACCAGAGAGAGACAAAGAGGGAAAATGGATTGGTAGCTGTCCCACAGTTCCTCCTCCATTCTGTTCTAATGATTTTGAGCACACACACACATGCCTGCCATACTCTTCCACCCAATGGCTCCCAAACTCGAATTGTACTGTTGGCCATGTTGGATCCAGGCATCTTAACCTCTGTGCCACCTGCTGGCCTGCACTCCTTAAATGTTTTAAAACCAAGGAGGCATATATATTTAATATGACACGTTCACTGTTAAGCTGCTATGTGTTTCTGTCATTTGCTTTTATGTGAAGTTCCACAGAAACAGACACTACCAGTTGCTCCTCGAACTCGAACTTCTCAAGAAGAATTGCTAGCAGAAGTGGTTCAGGGGCAAAGCAGGAACCCCAGGACAAGTCCCCCCAGCAAAGAGGAGGAAACAAAAGGAGACAATGTAGAAAAAAATCAAGGTAATAATTCAAGTGATGCATCATTTTCTGTTAACTTTTTTTTTTTTCCGAAGGCTTAAATATTTCCTAATGGGCGTTGAGCAAATGTTTGTTTTACTATGAGAAAAGTGATGTTTAAGCCCAAAAATGCAGTGAGAAAGGATCATGAGGAAAATTTATGTCTACATGTTTCAGAAACATTTAGAAGTCTTAGAGATGTTTTTGAAATTCTGAAAAATGAAAAATAAGTGCAATGATACTCTGTGAACATAGTCACCAAGTCTTAATAATGATCAGAATATTGCTGATCTTTATACAGACAGGCATATACATGTACACACAGGTATGTATGTACAAACATTCACACACTATTTCTGCATTCTTTCTTTTTTCGTTGATTATACTTCTTTCTTAAACTTGAAATGTCTTTAAATCTCCCCTCTCAGCATCCTGTCCTGTGACCTGTTGTTTCTGTCACAGTGGCCTTTATTCCCTGGGCATAATGGACTGCGGTTAACGTCTGCTCTTCTGCTTTCTTTTTTTCTTCTCTCTCTTCACCCCTCACTCTTGTGTAAGCATTCTGCTATCTGACTTCATGGTGTGACTCCCATCCTGGTCCTCCATTGTCAAGAGTTCTCCCATGTCCTCACTGCTCAGGCAGATGCCTTTGGTTTGGACTTCAGGTTGTCTGATCTTTCTCTCCACGACTCGCAAACTGTATGTTTCTCTTGTTCCATGCAAATACTCTGGTTTCTCTTGTTTCTCTTTTTTGTAGTAGTATTTGGACCTAAAGGGACCAGCAGATGGACTAATGGTTATGTCACTGTACTCGTGTGTAGTTTACTGCGGTTCGAGTTACGGACCCAGTAGCTTGGAACTCATGCCAGGCACATGTGTGTGCTTGTGTGCCCAAAATCCCCAGAGAAAAATGGACAAGGGATTGTGGCATGGCCATTCCCTCTTGAGGTGATATTTTGCTTTCTGTCTCTCTGGTGAGTGCACATACTCTATAGCAAAATCTCTAAAGGGGAAAAAAAAAAAAAAGATTTGGGCCTAAAAACTCCATTAAAAAGTCTGACTTTGAAAATACACTTTTTGGGGGCCAGCAGGTGGCATGCTGGTTAAAGGCTCTGGATTCCTACACGGCTGACTGTGGTATGAGTCCTGGACCTGCTGGTTTGCCTTCTTGTATTCCCTTTCTCTGTCTTTCTCTCTCTGCCTCTGTCTGGTCAAATTAAAAAAATAACAATAATAACAAATGGAATTAAATAAATAATTCTTTAGGAAAAAAGTATTCTTTTTCATTTTTCTGTTCTTTAAGTTCCAGGTGTCTTGAAGCCTTATGATTTGAAAATTTATTGGTTTCGTGAAGCCTTATGATTTCATCCTGTTTGTTTTGTTTTTGTAACTGTTGATTATTTTTTCTATGAGAGAGAGGATAGGCATCCCCACCAGCATCTTGATAAGAGCAGTCCATCCCCAACCAGCCAGGTCCATAGGCCTGCACATCAGGAATACTCAGGGAAGTCCTGGGGATGTGACTTCATGGTCCACTTACATTACCATTCGGCTACTGCCTGTTCCCTTCCCCTGCATCTGTATAAGTTTTTTCATTTACTCCTTTAAAAAGTTTTTTGGCTATAATATACAGTTTGCCATGTCAGCATTATATGCTACCCAATAAATGATGGATCCAAGGATAAGAAATCCCCAAAATAACCAATAGCTGCTAACTGGAAAGTGTGAAGGGGCCAGTTTGAGAAGAGCCAAGAGGATTAGTAGGTGAGACTAAAGCCAAGGCAATAGTAGGGGAGACTAAAGGTTTAGAAAGACTGTAGTAGTCTACTCCCTAGAATTCATGTCAGGGTTTTCTTCAGAAACAGTATTTCATGTGATAAGAAACATCTTGGAGTAGAATTGCATGCAGTAGTAAAGTAAAGATAAGGAAAAAGAAATTAAATAAAAGTAGGGGTGGAAAGCAGAGCTAGAACATCTCAAAGCAAGATGCTATATATATTTTAATTGTCAGAGTGTATATGTGGTTATAGGAGTGAGATGGAGAGACAGAGAGAAAGCATACCCAAATAAGGTGTGGTCATGTCACAGTCCTTTCTTTCATATTTCTCCATTATGTTGGGATTTTGGGCACACATGCACACTTGCCTGGTGTGTTTTTCAGGGTGCTGGGACTAGGATTTGAACTGGGGCTACCTATGTGTGATTCAACTCATTTAACCACTAGGCCATGGGGCTAGCCCAAGGAGCCATTTTTTTTTAATAACATGCTGTCGACAGAGGAGGTCCTCTCTGAAGTTAGAAGCTACCTGCGACTAGTTGATGGTATAGTGGTTAAAATAATAGGATTTTACATGACCAACTGTGTGTTCCTAGTCCCAGATCCAGTGACTTGAAAATTAAGGTAGGCATGTTTGCATGTATTTCCAAAATCCTGAGAGGAGAAATGGAGGAGAAGAGATTGCCGTATGGCCATCCCTCTGCAGTGGGATGTTTTCTTGCCAGCATCCCCTCCTCCTCCCCCCACAAGTATACATGCCCTATAACAAGATTAAAAACCAAAAAAAAAAAAGGAAAAGAAACTATCTGAACCAAACCTCCTTAAAAAAAAAGAATTGAACAGAAAAGTATTAGGGTTGGGCTACCTAGTGGTGTGGTTAAAGTGGATGGATCCCCACATACCTGATTATTCCATTCAAGTCCTGGACCTAGCAGCTTGAAAAACATGCCAGGCATGGGTGCAAGCATGCCCCAAATGCCAGGAATAAATGAAGAAGAGGTTGCAGTGTGGCCATCCTCCCAGGGAGTGCTTTCTCACTTTCTGTCTCTGGTAAGTGTAAATGTCTTCTAGCAAATAAAAATAAATAAAAGTGTGAAGGTCACCAAATTAAAAGAAAAAGGGGATAAAGGACAAAATAGCCTTTGGTTCTCCTCAGGATTTTGCGCATGCACACACACATGTCCAGTGTGATTTTCATGCCACCAGATTCTGGACTTGAGCTATGGTCAGCAATGTGGGAGTCCAGCACCTTAACTACTGTGCCACCTCCTGCTCCTGAGTTGGCAACTGTTCTAAAAGTTAAGTTTAAATTCATTTATATCTTGCCATGGCTACTTTTGTACTGTAATACAGCTCAGGTTGAACCATTGTAGTAAACCATATTGCCTGCACAGCCTAGTATAGGCGGTTTTTAAAAAATCATTATTTTTTTAGAGAGATTTTTGCTATAGGGCATGCATGCCTGCAGAGAGAAGGTGAGAAATCACACCCTGGGGAGGTGGGGGGGTGGGGGGATGGCCATGCCGCAATCCTTTGTCCTCCATTCTCCTCTTGGGGTTTTGGGCACTCACACATGCACCTGGCATGAGTTTCAAGTTAGAGTCCAGGACTAACTGTGGTTGGCCGTGTTAGAGTCTCAACGACATGACCATTACACCATCTGCTGGTCCCATATTATAATTTTTTAATTTGACCAGAGAGAGAAGGAAAGTGAGAAAGCAAGCTACCAGGTCTGGGACTCAAACCGTGATTGACCATGTGGTAGTCCAGCACCTTAACCTCCATGGCACCTGCTGGCCCATTGAAAATGTTTACTAAACCCGGATACAGTAAATGAAGGAAACATCTTTAAAATTGAGAACAAAATGGGGGCCAGTAGGTGGCATGGTAGTTAAGGCACTGGACACTCCTCATAGTCAACCACGGTTTGAGTCCCGGACCTGGTGGCTTGCTTTCTCACTTTCCTTCTCTCTGTGTGTCTGTCTTTCTCTGGTCAAATTAAAATAAATGAATGAATAAATAAAATTAAATAAATAATTATTTTTTTAAAAACTTGAGAACGAAATAGAAGAATTGTTATTTTTGTCCTTTTTTAATTTTTTAAATCATGAAGCACAGTTGTTTTGTGCTCCCTAATAAAGAACTGAATACATTAGTCTTGCTAAAGAATTTGAACCTAAGTCATCAAGCCTCCATTCCAGCAGTCAGCTTGGAATTACAGAACGAGGCCAGAGGATTATATGTTGGTAGAGCTGCATGCTAAGTGTGCAACAGGCAAAATACAGTCTCTTGAGTACCCTATTAGTGAGACAGCCCAAGATTTCATGATTAAGTCTTAGAAGACAAGTCAAATAAAAGAGGACAGTGTTAATTTATAGTGTCCAGGGATGCCAACTTGTGTGTAAAAACACAAAGAACTACTAGACATTATCACAAGAGGCAATTAGTGGGTACTTACCAGGACCTGCTCTGCAGAACGTGAATTCTGAGTGGGGGCTGTGGGTTAAAAATAAACACACACAGATATACAAGTATAGAAAATAGAATGTTGGGTGAGCCCGACTTCCCTGATGGAGAAAGCTGTGATCTTGGACCTGGCTTCAGGTTTATTCTTTAAAAGGGCAGAAAATGGGGGAAGAGGAAATGGAGTTCAAAGCCAGTAACTTTTGGATATAAATTGTCTGAAAATGGGAAAAGGACTGGCTCCATGTAATTTCTCTGATCTTTTTTTGATAAACACATGTGGCTTCCTCTAGCCTAATATTGCTCAGCACTGTGGACAACAACAGGGAGATAGCCTTTAGCCTTTTCATATGCAAATACCTTCACAGCCATGCAAATGAAGCTCCTGGAAGCATGCATTTCATCCAGAGGTCACCACACTTGCTCATATTGGTTGCTCTCCAAAGTTACTTGGAGGAGATTGATTTAGGATGGAACTTGTGGAGAGGCTTCCATTGGTGACTGTCCAAGGTGTTTTTCTTGACCTAGGTGATGGTTAGAAGGGTGTTTGGCCTTAGAAAAATTCATTGAACTGTATATTTGTTTTGTGTGGTTTTGTATGTCATTGTGTTTTTGAAAGGTTGAAACATCCACTTAGGCAAATACTCTTGGTTTTTTTGAGAGAGATTTTTGCTATAGGGCATGTGCTACACTTGCAGGAGAGAGAGAGAGTTAGAAAGCAAGAAATCCTCCCCCAGGGGAGTGGCCACTCCACAATCCCTTC